ACAGTTATCTCCTCGTTAAATCCGTATAAAAAACGCAGAATAGACCACAAATACGCCACCATGAACACCGCTCTTCTGTCACATACTCATGGGGTAAGAACCCTAATTTTTTTCCTTCCCCGCGTAATCGGAAGAGAAGAAAGAGATCAACGTGTTCTTTTTCATCCTCCTTAACTTCATGGCCGACCTCGAAGGTGAGTAATTTTAGTATTGAGATTTTTCGATCTTTTTGCGACCTGTCCTAATCTTTCTTCAAATCTGATTTTTTTTGTGTTATTTTAAAAAGGAAATACACCTGCAGTTATAGCTAGCACAATAATTTTCGCAAATTATCCTAATCTTCCAAGTAATTGTTTACAAGTAATCCTAAACTGGATAAATTCAATCTCCAATGTATGTTCCAAGTAATTATGGGGCCCAAGCTGGATAATTCTTTCCATTTGTTATCATAATTGAAACAACACTTACCGAATGAACATTGATAATGAAAGAAGAGGGGCGAGTAGTCGGACAAAGAAGGGACGAGCATAGCTTCCAGATTTCTGCTGATAACCCTATATTTAACGGTGATATAGCGATTGAACTGACAGAGGTCCATATGTGTTAAGACCAGACATAATTGGGGATTATTATTGTCAAATTTGATAACTGATGACTAAATATGTAAAACGATATAAAACTAGGGACTAAATATAGAATTTACTCTAAAACTTAATATGATTATTATAACGGCTATTATTACTCCGCATTACAGATATTTGTATTTGATACTAGCATTTTAACCCGTGCCACGCACGGGACTGAATAATTTTTCTCTTTGTTCTATATTTTTTCTTTGAGAAAATGTAACTAATAAGATATGTTTGGTTGAAAGAAAGATATATTTTAAGAAATTTTAATTTAAATTCCTACATTTGGTTATATAAGTGGTAAAAAATCTGTTTTGAGGACAAATATTTTAAACTCAAAAAAGAGAATGATTTTATTTGCTTTGGACAAATATTTTAAACTCAAAAAAGAGAAAATGATTTTATTTGCTTTGGACAAATGTGTATCTTCTTACTCACTCCTCGAGTCATATGATATCATGAACAAAACAAAGAAACCCCCCTCCCCCACTATATCCCAACCAAAGAGATTGAAACTCTATAGTAGAGTTTTGATACCGATTGAATATAAAAATTTTAATTACTCAGACGAAATTCATGGGTGGCACGAAAAGCTATTGTCCAAAATTTATGGTGAGACTCATTCACATTGTACGTCTTAGTGGATACGGAGGCAACATTTATGTGCACGCCATTAGATTCAGAAAAATAAGAACATATACAACATTATAATCGAGTTAATATCACTAAAAATGAATATAGAATTCCAATAACACTTTTCATCTAGATTCATAATATAAGATCTCTCAAACACGCACAAAGATCACTATTTTTATTCATTTTTTATTTTATATATACTTTTGATTGAGTTATTTTTTCTTTTCAATAATATTATTTTTAAATTGTCATATTAAAATAATTCTTTTACTTAATCAAAATAAAGTAAATAACTTGTACCACATTGACCATTTCTGATAATAAATGAATATCGTTAGTTCCGGAGTCATTTCGTGAGCCACATCATAAGTTGTAATTATTTTAGTGTATAAAGTGAAATTTAATATTATTTTTGTTTGATTGATGAGTGTTGAATTATTCCTCTAAAAACATTAATAAAAAATATTTTTCACTTCATCTCAACATTTGTTTAACATGAGTTAGGGACACAAAACTAAGAAATAAAAAATCTTATGAATGATATTGATATTTAAAATTAAGAGAAATAATGTCTAAGACAAAAATAATAGGAAATATAACAAAAAAATAAAAGGAAATGAAACTTAAAACATGGGGTATAACTTATTTTAATTAATAAAATATTCATTTCAACTCCTTTCAATATTTTCAACTTCTAACTCTTTTGCGTTTCTTCTAACAATTTTTAATTTCTTTCAATATTTAACTCTTTTTTAATTTCAAACAGATGCTGGTTTAGATAAATTTTAATTTTCTATATTATAAAAAAATATTATTGCAAAATATTAGTCACAATTAATATGGTTTGTATTTTTAATTAGATGACTTCCATGAGAAGAGTTTAAAATATTAATTTTAGTTCTATATAATATTTAGAGAATGAAAACCTTTGGAAATTATTACGTAAACATTATTAATTATTAACCATTTCAAATTTCCCTAAAATTTTTAGTTTAGTACGGAGTATATTATATGGTTATTTATGTAAAAATTTAATAGACTTTTCATCGGAAAACAACGTTAGAAATAAAAATATAACTCCTTATATGACTATTTTTAAAAATAAATATACTAATTTTTTTTTGTTTTGTTGGGATTGTATTTTAACTCCTTTCAAAAAATATGTTAGTATAACTTATTTTATCAAAAACAAATATTCATTTCAACTCCTTTTATTTTTTTCAGACTTCTAACTCTTTTTACTTTCTTTTAATTCTTTCTAGCCTTTTCTAACTCTTTTTTTTTGCAACTTATTAGAGTTTCTTTCCACATCTTACTCTTCTTTTCAAATCTAAAAGAACATATTCTAAATTAGATAATTTTTACTTTTCTATGTTATAAAAAAAATATTATTGCAGAATATTTTTCAAAATTAATTTGGTTAATATGAGTTTCATGTTTTTAATCTCGAATCATGACTACATTATCAATCATGACCATGTACATTACCAAAAATTATAGTAAAATGTACATGTACTACAGTGCTACATTACTACAGTGCGAACTCTTATTTAGAGAATAAAAAACATGAAACTCATATTTTGGTCTTTTCTCTATGTTTTACTCTTATTTTGGGTGATTTATTTTAAAAAAATTGAATCTTGATAAAATATTTTCTTAATTCCTTTTCACATATTTAAGGAAATTGTATTTATTAGGGAAAAAAAATGAAATGAACTCAATATTCAAGTATTTCTTGTTAAAATTCCATTTTTTAATTAGGTGATGCACTTTTTATTTTTAATATCATATGAATGCTTTTCAAAAATAGTAACATCTCAAGAGTTGTAACTATAAAAATTGAATTTTCATATTTATATAGAGAGTAGTACGTACTTATAAAAATATGGGGTACTTAAAAAGACTTAAGTAGGAGTAAAAGTTAGGAAATGTACCAAAATAAAAGTTCCACATTTGTATTTGTAATGTAGGAGTTAAAATGCATATACAATGCCTATCATGCCAATATATTAAACAAAAAAGTATTGTGAAATGTTCATATGCAGTGCAACATTATCATAGTACAAGCTCCTATTTTTCAGATAAAAACATAGAGCTTCTATTTTGGTACATTCTTAATATTTTACTTTTATTTAGCGAGATTTATTTATAAATTTGTAGAATAAAGTATTTTAAGGAAGTAATTTTTAAATATTATTCAAAGAATTGATTTTAATATTTAATTAAAAAAACTCTTGGAGATATGAATCAGTTAAATGAATTTAAAAGAAGTAATTTTATTTGGAATATCAAATATATAAGTTTAAACGTATCAAATGTATACAAATATCATGTTTTAAAATTTACCATAAACTATTTGCTAAAAATGGTTAATGATTATAAACAAAGTTTCCATTTATAAACTCTTTATAAACAAAGTTTCCATTTATAATGGTCATCATTCACGTGTCAAGAAAGGCTCCACATAGACATTCCACGTGTCAAGCTCTGGTGATCCGAGTCTCAAATATTATATTAAAGGATTGCCTTAAAAATTCCCGAGGCACTACCCTGAACATTGAACATTGTGTTTATCTTGCCTCTATGACATTGTCATATTTCCTTTAAAAAGAGCATAAAACTTACCTGGTTTAACATCAAAATTTTGACACCAAATAGTATAGAGATAATCACTCCCTGTATCGGAGTCTTATCTTATGTTTGATTCATGGAAATTAAAAGAAAATGATCAAAAAGACTAATATTTTGATTTCTCGTTTTTTCCTCACCAAAACGGAAGAAAAAGTGTTTTCCTTTATTTTATTTTATTTATTTTCTACCCTATTTCTTTCATCCACTTTTTATTTTCCTCACCAATCAAGCAAACAAACTTATTTTTTTATACCTTTTCTTTTTTCCTTTTCAAATTTCTTCAACCAAGCAAAAAGAGTCGACTCAAGTCAAGGGCAAAGTGGCCACTTGGACAGTGCCCAATTGTAGAGGGGGTCCTACTTTTTCTTGTAAATATATTATATAAATTTATTTATTATTTAATTATTTATATTACACTTTCCGTCTCAATTTAAATCACTTGTTATCGTTTATTATGTTTGACTGTAATTATTTTTAATTCATTTTATTTGAAAATTGGTATACATTAAAATAGAAAATTTACATATTTAAAAATTACATCAAAAGTCCTACATCAACCAATTTGCTCTGGAGAATGCTAGAAACACTTCATGAATCCCTGACTCTCTACTAAGGTATGTAATTATAGATTTATAAGACTATATTTTTGACTTTTTATTATTCTTATTACTATTCTACAGAGTTATTTTTATTATTGTTAAAAAAATATAATTTATAGATTCTATTTCATTATGACACAATGACTTATTTTCTGGGTGTTGTCCAGGACCCCTAATTTCTCCGAGACGCCCGGCAAGCAAATACTTCCTCCATCCTAAAATTAAATTCCCATTTGACTTTTCACGGTCTCCAATGTGACACTTTGACCATCAATATTTCAATTTTTATATAAATATATTTTATAAAAATTATATATTTCAAAACTATATTCCAAAATGAATCTATTGCTAATAAATTTATATGAAAATTCAATGTATTTTTTCTTAATCTACGGTCAAAGTTTAAAAAGTTTGATTGCAAAAGTCAAACTGGAAAATTAATTTTCGGACGGAGGGACTATAATGTAAGCTAAGCCTCTAATATTGTGGCAGGAGGCTTTGGTGAGCACTGCAGTCGCCGGAGCCATCGTGGGTGCAGCGGTTGGTGGGTGGCTGAACGACAAGTATGGGAGAAGAGCCGCCTTAATGGTGGCAGATTTTCTCTTCTTCGTCGGAGCAGCCGGCATGGCCGCCGCTCCGGGCCCCGCCATTCTCCTCGCCGGGAGGGTTTTTGTGGGTCTCGGGGTCGGAATGGCGTCAATGACTTCCCCTCTCTACATCTCCGAGGCCTCCCCGGCGAAACTCAGGGGAGCCCTTGTCAGCACCAATGGATTCCTCATCGCCGGCGGCCAATTCTTGTCTTACCTCATCAACCTTGCCTTCACCAAGGTGCCCTTTCTTGAGTGCCAATTATTATTCTCTCTACTTCTTTGTCATAATATTTGTCAAATTTTGACTTTTATGAGTTAACCAAAACAATATTTGACTTTTTTTCACTTATAGTTAGAGAAAAAAATAAAATAAAAGTAAAACATAGACAACATATTAAAATATGTGTTTATTTTCAAAAAAAATAATTGATTCTCTATTGCAAACACAAAATTTTTTTATTAATAAAACATTATAAAAAATAATTTTAAAAGTATTTATGATGATCATAGAAGAAAAAAGGAAAATGATAAAGAAAAAACAAGAGGGGGGATTGGTGCTCATTTCCAAAATTATACTCCCTCCATCCCAAATTATAATGTCTGTTTACTATTCACATGGTCAAATTTCATTCACTTTTTTTCTCTATTTTCGTTAGCAATTTGATAAAATAAAGTACTATTGTCACTACTAGTTTTGTAGATTTTTTGATGTAGTTTTTTAATATGTAATTTTTATTTTTTAACTATATACCATTTGTCATATAAAATAATATGAAAATAATTTCAGTCAAACATCGTAAACCGAAACAGGCGTTATAAAATGGGACGGAGGGAGTAGGAGACAACGGAGTCATTCACATTATATTTGAAAGATGTTTTAGTCTAGAGAAGCATTGATGTAGCAATATCAAAACAACGAGGAGCAACGATATTAAATTTCAAACCATGAAGAGAAATAGTGCACATTTTCAAATCACATGGGGTGTGGGTACAATAAACAAATTTTGTGTGTGTCTGTGTGTGTGTGTTTTTTTGGATAGACTCTAGGGACATGGCGGTGGATGCTAGGGGTCGTCGGCGTCCCAGCTCTATTTCAGTTTGTTTTAATGCTGTTTCTCCGGAATCTCCTCGTTGGCTTTACCGAAAGGTACATACTAATCTTCTTCACCATGGTACTATACATATTGAAATATTTGCACTAAATAGCACTAAAACTTAAGTCATTTCCTAAATAGCACTAAAATTATTTTATTCTCTAAATAGCACTTAATAATGTCCTGTGATGGCAAATATTTGCTTGAATAATGACTAATGCATAATGACTAAAAGTGCTACAATGGGAAGAAAAACACATGTGGTGCTATTTGGAGAAAGTCATTATGTTTTGTGTTCATTTTCAAATAGAAATTCACAGCAGTGCTCATTTCAAGTAGTCTACAGTTCATTCCCTTCATATTGGAAAATATAGTCTAATTTATAATCTTACCATCCATCATCTTCATAGTATCTCAATGCTAGAAAATCCATGAGACATCATCATCATAGACCGCAATTAAAGTTTTGTTAGTCGCCTTCATCATCCATCTCACCGTGCTTCCTCGATCTTGCCAGATCGACACATCAAGGGTCGGATCTCTGCTCTTCTCCCAAAATCATGTGGCTTCCTTCGCAATTTAATAGCAAAAAATCGGGTCAAAATCGGGTCTGTTCTTCCTCTCCAAATGGTGCAACAGATTTCACTTAAATTTTAAGCCAACTGCACGGTTCTTCACAGTGGCGGATCCAGAAAATGAAATGACAGGGGGCAAGAATAAGGCGGGGCTTGGGAGCAACACTCGATTTTTTGTGTGTGAAAGTTAATGTAAAATGTCATAAATACAGTTTGATGATGTAAATTATCAACCGATATATTATTTTTAGCCAGACAAAAACAATAAACTAGTCTAAAAAATACACCAAAATATAAAAACAAGAATTTTTACGTGGAAATCCAAATCGGGAGAAAATTACGGGTCTTTTTTGGCAGTACCTTGCCAACGGGGAATTTTTATTAATATCAGGAGTGTGTACACGGTACATGAAATGGGTTCGAAAGCCATAAATGGAGGCTTGAAAGCTTATTGAAGAACAAAAATTATGAATATCTAGAGAGAGAGAGAGAGATCGAGATGTGCATGCGGAAGTGAGTGAATTGGCCTCCCATTTAATGAAGGAGAGCCCTCCTTTTATAGGAGTAGCAGAAACATCTACGGGAGAATATTTTCGTATTCTTCTATTTTATTAAATATGCCCGATTTGGTTAATAATTGGGAAATGTGAGTCCAACCACGTGCTATTTCCCATCACAATTAAATTGCATTTCAATATTATGAATTGCTACGCATAATTTATAACCTACTAAATAAATAATGTTAAATTTAGATACTCCCTCCGTCCTGTTTTAAATCACCCGTTTTGACTTTTGGGCATATTTAAGGAAAATTAAAAATATAGTTGATTTTTCGAAATTGTCAATGCTTTTTAGGAGGGATGATGATGAATGAGAATATAATGTGAAGAAGATTGACTTATTTTAGAGGTAGTTTAGGTATTTTATTTTTAAAAGTTTACGAAAACAACTAACAGACAACTTATTTTGGGACGGCAAAAAAAGGCAAACAGACAATTTAAAATGGGACGGAGGTAGTATTATACATGACTAGACTACCAAAAATAATTTTCAATTAAAGATTTAAAATGTTTTTATCCTTCTTTTTTATGTTGTGAGGATTTGGAAAAATGAATGGGGGCATTTCATTTTTTTAGTGGGGGCATAAATGATATAAATGATATTTTTAAAAAATTTGATTATTTATTTATAAAAAAATTAAAAGTCATTGGGGGCAAGTGCCCCCATTAATCACCAATTAGATCCGCCCATGCTTCACGTACAGCCAGCCGGCTTATGGTATAATTTGCATTCTCTCTTCATTCGAATCTGACTTCTTCGATAAGAGTTTATTAACACTATATTTGGTTCAAAGAATTTGAAAAAGAAAAAAAACAAAATGAGAGGGAAAAAAGTGATATTGTTTGTTAGAGAGAAAAACAAAAAAAAACAAAATAAGAACTCAAAATGTACTAAGAAGTACTCCCTCCGTTCCTAAATAAAATTCTTCTTTCGTTTTTTCTTTGTCTCTAAATAAACTTCTCTTTTCCGTTAAAAAACTTATTTTACCCCTTACTTTTTCATACCCTACCTATCACATCATATCTTTTTACTAATAATCTACCTATCATATCTTACTTTAACATATCACATCAAGGGTATTTTTGGAAAGTCAACACCAAAATATCCCTCCCTTAAATCTTCAAAAAGTTAAAAATGAAACTTTATTTAGGGAGGGAGTAAAATATTCTCGCTGGAAGAAGTAGAAATATTACAAATTCTCAATAAATAATGCCTTTCATGTTTGGGAAAAAACAGGGGAGAACAGAGGAAGCAAAGGCAATTTTGAGAAAAATATTCTCGCCGGAAGAAGTAGAATCTGAGATCCAAGCTCTGAAAGATTTACACTATGTTTGGTTCAAGGAATTTGAGAGGGAAAAGAAAAGAAAATGAGAAAGAAAACATTTTTTCTTGTTTGGTTAGAGAGGAAAAGAAAAAAAAGTAAAAAAAAAAGAAAATGAGAAAGCAAAATGTATTAAGAAGATGGAAAACCAAATTCCTCCCATTTTGGTGAGGAAATCATTTTCTTTTCTTTTCCATGAACCAAACATAAACATAGTGTTAGTTGAGAAGGAAGAAAAAGAATCCGACAAATCGGAGAAAACGAACCTCCTGAAACTGCTCAGAATCAAAGCCATACGGCGGGGGCTGACGGCCGGCGTGGGGCTTCAGATTTTCCAGCAGTTCGTCGGAATCAACACCGTCATGTATTACAGCCCCACCATCGTTCAGCTCGCCGGAGTTTCCTCCAACCGGACGGCGCTTCTTCTCTCGCTGGTCACCGCCGGCCTCAACGCTCCGTCGTGAGCGTGTGCTTCATCGACCGGATCGGACGGAAGAAGCTCCTGGTTTTCAGTCTCTGCGGTGTCGTCGTCTCTCTGGGCTTTCTATCGGCGGTCTTCCACTTGACTACCTCTGGTTCGCCGAGAATTAGCCAGGCGGAAACTGCGCATTTCCCGGGACTCGCCTGCCCTGCCGCCTATCACTGCGGCGATGCCGAATCTCATAGGATATGGGATTGTACCCAGTGTTTGAAATCTACCGGTTGCGGCTTTTGTTCTTCGTCTAAGAACAAGGTAATCACTTCCTATTCATAATGCCTAATTACATGTTGAGCAAGTCTAAAATGACACTAGTGCCACTGGTAACACTGGTCTCATTTGCTTACATCAATTCGTTTGGAGTATCTACGGTGTCCTATTTGTAAAAATTACAGTTCTTACCCTTCTAATCCTCCTCCTAAACCCCTACCCTAGCCCCACCCTTGCCTCCCCACCCCAGCCCCCTCTCGCACCCCTCCCTACCCTAGCATTATATTGCTAGGGTAGGGAGGGGGGCAGGAAGAGAGCTGGGGTGGGGTGTTTTTGGTGGAAGGTTAGAAGGTAGGAACCATCATTTTTACAAATGGGGCATCGTAGGTACCCCAAACGAACTGGTGCATGAGTAACTAGTCTCATTTTAGGCGCTGCCTTAAACATTAAAGGATTCTTTAATTTTTTTGATGTGGACACTTTTAATTTGTTAATGTGTTGGGTTTATATAATTGTGTTTTAACAGTTATATCCAGGAGCTTGTCTGATCTCGAACGACACCGTTAAGAGAGATTGTCACGATGCACACAGACTATGGTACACAAAGGGGTGTCCGAGTAGGCTCGGTTGGTTGGCACTGGTCGAGATGTCGATGTATATCATCTTCTTCTCCCCAGGAATGTGAACGGTCCCATGGATTGTGAACTTTGAGATATACCCATTGCGGTTTAGAGGATTTTGTGGAGGCATTGATGCAATGGCTAATTGGATTTCAAATTTAATTGTAGCGCAATCATTCTTGTCACTAACTCACATCATCGGAATGTCATTGACCTTTCTCGTGTTCGGCATGGTGTCTGTGTTCGCACTAATGTTCGTCCTAGTTTACGTGCCCGAAACAAAAGGACTTGATATTGAAGAAATTGAAAAAACCTTAGAAGGATGGAGTTTGATGTTTTGGAAGAAAAAGCCAATGTGGGAAGGGAATGTGTGATATAGTGCCTAGTAATGTTGAGAAGAGTTATAAACTTCTTAGTTATAAAATGTTTTTTATTTGGACCAACATAGTGGAAACAATGCAATGTAAGATATTTATTACTTGAACTTCTTTTTTAGTTTCATTTAAGAAAAAACTTATTAGTTTTTAATTACACTTCATATGACCCTCCTACAATTAAGTTACTCTATTGAATTGATTTTAACATAATTTAATGCTAGGTAATTTTGTGTGTGTTTACTTTTGCATAATCCTTAAGATTATAAGTGCTTTTTTTTGTAGAAATAGATGGGGTTAAATGGTAAATATATAAATGGCATTTCAAAGAAAACATACTTCTTTTTACGGAAGAGACTTTTTTTTCCATTGGATGTATACCATTTACTAACAAGGTGCTTGAGTTGATGGTCTCTTTGAAAACAACCACCATATATTCGAGTAAGAGTAATGTTTGGGTATACATACCCTCTCAAATTCTACTTTTATGAGATTCAGCTGCATTGTCCTTAGAACATCAGAAATGGGTTTAAAGCCTCAAACTTTAAACAGGGGTATCAAATCTTCTCTCTCTGTCAGATTTGCTTTAGCTCCCCTTTAACTTACATTATAGTTTCATTGGATATGAGTTTGAAGCCCTTATATATTTTTTTAAATTTTTATTACACATGTTGTAAAATTAAATTAATAAGATTTCATTAATTAGTTGAATTTATACAACAATAATTCATTAAACAAAAAAATTACATTTAATAAAAAAGAATACTAAATTTAAAAAAAATCACATTTTAAAAAAAACTATGACAAATTATATTTAGCCTTGATCTCGTTTTGTCCTTGCTCTTAATAATGTAATACATATGCTTGAAGCCCGCTAACGTATAAAGACTGGTTTTCATAATTTTCAGCTCCTCCTTTTCTCTATTTCGTTTCTCCCTCTCTTCTTCCTTAATATTGAACTCCCGCAGTTGTTCAACCTTTGCCCAGCTGATATCATCGTGAGAGGAAACAAATCCAGACTCTGTAGAACCTAAGGCAATTGATTTTGCCTTCTTTCTTTTGATCGGTTATAAAATGGGGTCCTCATCATTGGAGTCGTCTAGGTTGCGGGAGGCCTTTGTTCTAACGAGCCAATAGTATCATCGGCTTCAACCTCGGCAGATGATCTTTTCTTTGATGATCCGGCCTCGGAGTTGTTGAGTTGTTGCAATTTTGTTGAACGGCTTAAAATTCTCCAAAGATCAACAGAGACTTTGCCTTGGTGTTTGTCGTCTTGATTCTGGGCGGTGGCTTGACGCAACACATCAGCATGATTCATCCCGCTTTTCTACGATTGAGAGCATTCCTCATAAGCTCCGAACTTTTATACTTTTGTGTTGATATGGCCCCATTTAGAAGTTTTCATATTTAGTCCTCTTTTATCAAATATTACCCCCGCAGTCTTTTTTTAATCTTCTGTCATGTTGATATTAATTTAAAGACTAAAAATATAATTTGTCATCAATCTTGTGTCTAGTGACGTATTCTAGTATTGGTTAGACAGATAATACAAAAAATAATATCAATGATTGTGAGGTAAGATTGTAAAGAAAAATCATATCTGTAGACTATGGTTGTAGTAGAAAACGACAATAATTCAAAAACGACGCATTAGGAGCGACATTTTGAATTGTATATGAAACTAATGTAATCTCCTGTCTGAATTGTTCATCTTCCTGATGTAGCCCAATATCGAAACCAATAACCTTCACGGATAATTTTTATGATTTGGTCTCAAGATATTGCAAAGAAAACAAACCTGAAAACTCATCCGTGAAGGTTATTGGTTTCAATTTTGGGTTCCACCAAGAAGACAAAATTTTGAGAAATGAATGATGATTTCAGTTTTGGGTTCAAACGAGTTTAGGAAAAGAGTGCGAGGTTAATGGAGAGAAGTATGAATTACAATTTTATTTACGTTCTTAATTGAAATGTTAACAAAAGACCATCCGTGAAAAATAATATATTAATTGGAGACTAAATTATTAATATTTGATATATATAAACAAAATATGTAAAACGAACTAATTGGATACCTTTTATAAAATTTAATCAAACTCTTTTATCATCAACCGTTAAAATAAATCGAAAATTATACTGTGGATTAGTTTTCCAAACAGTTTCCCAAACCAGAAGCTTTGAACCTTTTTGAGATTCCTTTCTTCAATTCGTCCCATCTTCGGAAGATCAAATCGCATTTCTCGCAAATTACAATACCATTTCAGGTGAAATCTAAATTTCCGATTCTTTCTCTATTTCTGGTCTTACGGAGTATTAAATGCCTAACATCCTTCATCTTCGATTGATCTCTCAAAGTAACTGTTCATTTTCCCCACTCGATCCACCAATTTCCATGTTTCGATTCAAAGTCTTGATTTCAAAATGCTATCTTTAACCTTATTCTGCTCTCAATTATTTCCCGTTTTCAGGTATTGTTTTAAAATTGCATTGAATGGATGAACCTAGTAGTTCCTCTGCAGTTCCTCTTCGTGGCTGGAGAAAAGGCAAGCGATTTCACATTCATGGGTTTATTTTGCTTCAATTTAAGTTTACATCTTTGAAAAAAGAATCTCGTTTCAATTAATGACAAAGTAAAGTAATTTGAACTTATGACAAGAAGAACTTTAATATCATCTTACCATTTCCATTTTATATCACATTGTCAATTTGTATCTATAGTAGTTGACAACACAGTGCCTTCTTTGTATATGTCAATTTCTTGATACTTGATACTGATGCATTGGCATATGTTTATATGAACCTTAGTAGTGATTTTTGTATGTTTGACAACATGCAGCTGTATACCAGTTTACACAACAAAACTTGCCAGCCTGTAAACCTGTTCTAACACCAGCATGGGTAAGCAAGCACAGTTCTATGCTTGGCAGATCCACTTCATTGGGCTCTTTCCGCTCATACAAATTGCTTGAGTGATTCTTTGTTATGTCCTTGCAGGTCATTTCAACATTTTTCATTATAGGAATCGTTTTCATTCCCATGGGGCTCCTCTTTCTTCATGCTTCACAGAGTGTAATATTTTTATCTAACGTCTAGTGACTGTGATATGATGTTTTTAGTATCCTTGCTCTATTCAGTTATGTGCTAGTCTACCTTGATGGACTAATTATGTTTGCAATTTTGCATTGCAGGTTGTTGAGATTGTGGATAGATATGATAATGAGTGTGTACCCGTACCATTTAGAAACAGCAAAGTTGCATATATCAAAGATGACTCAGTTTCCAAAAATTGTACCCGATACTTAAAGGTAGCATTTCTTTGCGATACTAGCCTAATGGTCCGCGGATTTTATCTCACATGTATGATACATTATACATTGCATTCATTTAACTTTTGATTTGCATTATTTCCGCTACAGGTTCCTAAGCACATGAAGTCTCCAATATATATTTATTATCAACTTGATAACTACTACCAAAACCACAGAAGGTGAGATTTTTTACGTACTCCCTCCGTCCCTTAATGGATTACACTGCCACTATTCTGGCCTTCCGATAACATTTGTTTATTTACATGTTTTCATTAATCATTTGATAAAATGAAATGTTCTTGTCACCTCTTATTTTGTAAAACTTTTGATGTACCCCCTCCGTCCAAGTCGGTTTTTCCCATACACTCTTCATACGGTCAAACTTTATTCACCTTGTTTTATTATTTTCACGACTCATTTCATGATATAATATAGTCATGTCACCTCTTGTTTTGTAGAACTTTTTTCTAGTTTTTAAGTTTGTAAATTTTAATTTTGAATTTTACCCCACATCAAATGAATTGAATTGAAAATAAAATCGGTCAAACCTGATAACACGTAATGGGAAGAACCAACTTGGACAAAAGAAAGAATAACAACAACAACATCAACAACGACAACCTAGTTGAATCCCATCCAACTTGGACAGATGGAGTAGTTTTTAAACATGTAATTTTTTTTTTATTTCTATGCTAATTTGTAAATAGTATTAAATTAAAAAAAACATAGGGTGTTGCACGTCCTTCCGAGAGTTCCACCCATTTAGGGACGCATAGGGTACTGTGTAAATCACAACAAGAATTTACTTTCAACATGCAATTGTTAATGGAATGATATAAAAAGATTAGCAATTCAAAACAACTCGAAAAATGTCAAATTTTACTGTCCCTAGTAAGGTAAATTGGTTGGAATGTGGTGGGGTGGAGACAAAAACATACATTTTCCCCTGATTTAGAAAGATAATCATTGCCAAAGACCTTGTGGTCCAATGGCACCAAGGTGACTCTTCCAAGTGGGAGGTCACACGTTCAACCCCTAGTAGGGATGATAGCTCTCGTTGCTTTAATAGGTTGAGAAAGTACGTAATATGTATGAACAAATACTACTATTATAATAGAGTTTTTAGTGCTAAAAAAAGATAGACAATCATTGTATTCATGTAATGCAAAAAGCCTTCGATCATTCAATAGCTTAGTGATAGAATTGGGCTCAATCATGCAGTAATTTACGAAGGTTTGGAGAAGAGGGCGTTATCAACACTTCCTATAGAACGCTGGGAATTTACTTGTGGTTGTTATGATAGGCTAGCAGTGGTGTTTTGCTCTCAGTTATATTACTTGTTTGTTATTAACTAGGGGGCCATTTTATGACCATGATTTGAATGAAAGTGTCTTAAAGTGAAAATAAATACTCCGTTACAATTAAAACCTTGTTTGCACATTGAGTGGATTCACTTTGATAAGAGTGCACATTTAAGCCTTTGTCCAAGGTCCAAACAAAGACAACAGAAGTGGGAAATGTGAGTTTGGGGGAACAGAAACTATTTTTCTGGACAATCAATGAACCCTCTCCCCCGGGTAAATGAGGTTGACCTTGTCAAAGACACAAGAGATTAGTTCCCCAAATGTAGTTTATCATTCGAAAGTGATTACCATTATATAGCTGTTATATGACTTGTAATCCCAAAAGCAAGCATAGTTTACAAGCTAATATTAAATAACGTAAATAAAGGTCAACTAATGCGAGAATGAAAAGGAAAGCAACATATATTGTATGATTTCTTGCACCCAAAGCTTGCACCTCTAGCCTGTTGTTCAGCTCCCTGCTTAGCCCGTGAGCATTCCACCTGCTCCATGTGGGAGCATCAGGTGACGGTGATAGGTCCGGCCCACCAAGGCATCCATAACACATTTCCTTAGGAAGGCACCCAACTATTGATTATGCAATAGGCATCTGGTATTCCTGAATTAGGCATGAAAAGCATCAGATAAAACCAGAATGGTTTTGATCTCCAAGTGATTGAACTTCCTATATAATACTCCCTCCGTCCTATATCTTTCTTCCCGTAGCGCAAAACAAAGAAAAATCCCAAGTTTTTTCAATCTATTTTATTTAAATATTGGTATAGAAATAAAAAATAAAACATACATATTTAGAAAACTACATCAAAAGTTCAACAAAACAAGTGGTGACAAGAATATTTTATTTTATCATATAGGCCATGAAAAAACACAAATAAATATAAATTTACGTAAAGTTGGAATAGTGCTTTGGGAAGAAAGTTTTAGGACGGAGGGAGTAATGTTTTTGGGCCTTGCATGTCCCTGCAGATTGATGAAAAGTGAATTTGACAAGCAGACTGGAGGAGGAAGAAGGAAAATGAAACATTTTTTTCATCTTTCATGTGTGTGTATGCGTACATATAAACAAATGGAATGCATGGTTGAAATGCATTTCCTTGAGTGCCATAATTACTCGTAATTGCCTAACTTGAAATGTGGTCAATGCATGTAATATTGTGATGTAGACATGTAGTTTAGTAAGTTCCTTAATATGACAATAAAAACTCTTGAAGTTAAATGTGGTGATCCCACAATAACAAGCAACAACATTAACATATTAAGAATAGTCATCCCTACTCAAATCACATTTCATATACGAAGTCCCTGAAAACTTGTCCTCCACTTTTATATGATTCCTTTTCTCTTTGTTTCTACTATTTCTTCTTTCATGTTATGGCATCTTTTACTCAGATTTACCATCTTAATACAGGTATGTAAAGAGCAGAAGTGACCAACAACTGTTACATGGATTGAAAAATAACCATACAGGCTCTTGCAAACCTGAGGACACTAATAATGGTCTACCAATTGTTCCATGTGGTCTGATTGCGTGGAGCTTGTTTAATGACACATATGACTTTTCCCGTGGGGTTGATGAAGTTAAAGTCCACAGAAAGGACATTGCGTGGAGGAGTGACCGTGACCACAAATTTGGGAAGCATGTGTATCCGTTTAACTTTCAGAATGGGTCTTTAATTGGTGGTGCAAAGTTAGATCCTACTATTCCCGTAAGAGTTAACTTTGATGCTTTTATCCCTACCCACCTACACACACCAAAACAAATATGAAAATGGATAAAGATAATGAAGGTAACACTTGGACCTACCAATCTACTCAGAACTAGATAGTGGAAAATAATAACATTAAGGCTTCCTTTGATGTGAGTTAAAAGAAAATGCTTCTTCAGTCAAGAATCTCTTTTCTCATTGGCTAAATAAGAGAAAAGAGCCTATTTTTTTATTAGAATCTCAAGCGGGGCAAGAGAAGCACTACTTACTCTTGCGTATAGAAATTTCAATTTCATATGCTCATTGATTTTTTTCTATACATGAAACTGTTAAGTTAGGTAGTAGCTTAATATACTGTAGAATATTTTCATTCATATTCTCACAACTAACTGGTTGGGAGGCCAGTTATATATCAGTTTTCTGCAATCTTAAGATTCAAACCCCTTTTTAACAATTGAAATACCAGTAGTTCAGTGAGTAATATCTTCTATATTCTGAGGTACAACTCACAACTAAATAGTCACCAGTAATTTCATCTTGTCCTTTCATCCTTTTCTCTAATTCAAGTTCTTTGATTGTTTGTTCACTTACTTCATGATTTTTACCTTGCTACTTTTGTGTGTTTGACTTCAATCATCAACTAGCTGAGTGATCAGGAAGATCTTATTGTATGGATGCGAACTGCTGCCCTGCCAAGCTTCCGAAAGTTGTATGGAAGAATTGAAGAGGATTTACATGCAGATGATGTAATAGTGGTGAAGCTTTTGAATAACTATAACACTTACAGTTTTGGTGGACGGAAGAAACTTGTTCTTTCAACAACTAACTGGTTGGGAGGCCAGAATAACTTTCTGGGGATGGCCTATATTTGTGTTGGCGCTTTGTTTATCGTCGTCGCACTTGTGTTCATACTGCTTCATATGAAAACTCCAAGGTAAAGTAAAACAGATGATGATCTATCCTTTTTTTCCTAGTTAAATGCTTCACTAGTCATTTCATTTTTTTGTACAAAATGTTGGGTGCTTTGCCTCTGATTCTTTTTAATCTTAATGAGCTAAAAAAAACTAATAAAAGGATTTTGAATTTGGCTCCGGCACCCTTTTTTAGTGTGAATATCAAAGCCAAAAAAAAGAAAGAAATAAAGTAGAGTTAAGACTCCATATAATGTATAGGTTCATTATTTCTTGTCCTTCCAACAACCTATCAAAATTTATTGTAAATACATGTTGCAATACTAAGATTGGCTAGAATCACTTTCAATAAATTGTGAGTGTACTATGATGTTTTACTGAATCAGTCCTTGTCATTGTTTATTTTTTTTCACTACGGGCAAGAAATCATATGTTGTCTGTTTTGTTTCTTTGTTTATTCATGCTGTTGTTCTTGATTTTATTATCTGATCTATTTTTGCATGCAGACCTTATGGAGAGACAAACTTAACTTGGAACTGGAAGAGCGGGTCAAATTGAAAGGCGCCTCCAAACCAAGTTTTTTTTCTCTTCTCCCGAAATTCCGGAGTTCAACGAAAACATTGCTAACCTGGTAACACGTCTATATTATGCAATAGGATATAGGTTAAACTCTGCTCTCTAATCCGTGTATTGTTTCTTGATCACTCTTTATTTATATTCGAACCAGTGACTTTATATGTAACCATTTGACACAGATGCACTTTGCATTCTCACTCAAATAATGTTTGAAATGTCTGCTGATATTTGCTGTAAATTAGAAATGGTGATATGAAAGAGAGGGTAAATTGCGTCATTAAAAATTATCCAAAACGCCAACACTGATTGCAATTAACCGTGGCCTTAGTCTACTGCATTTCTACTCCCTCTGCTTATTATGAGATCTACCTATTAAAAAGGGAAAATGCTAGGGGTACACCAAGAAATTTAAAAAAAATTAAGTAAATAAAAATAAAAAATAAATGAGTGGTTATGGAGGGGGTGGTGTACAAATGGGGTACACCTTTTGGTGTACCCCTAGCATCTCCCATTAAAAAGGGTTAAGTGGCTATATATAAGGCATTATTTTGACCTTTTTTTTAAAAAAATAAACACGATGAATCTAAAGAAATCATTTTTATATTAAAATGCAGCACAATTTTTATTATTATTGATAATTTAAGTTCGTCACATAGTCCTTTTTCTTCTCATTTCAATGGAAACAATGAGCCTGCAATTTAGTTCTCTCTCTCTTGCCATGGCGAGACGAAGGGGAAGACCAAAGAAGAAATCTACGCCTAACACTGGGAATGAGATACAAACACCAGGATCATACACATCGATCCCATCTACTAGTGGAAAAGAAACCCCAGAATTTTTGATGCTGGTGAAAAAATAGATGAGATCCCTAAAACGGATGAACCCGTAGATCTGATTGTCACCCCGGTTACATATCGAAAATCATATGCTGAAGTGGTGGGAAATCAGGAAGACGAGCTGGAACTCAAATATATCCCGGCTACAGAGGTAAATGGAAATCTAGTTGCTAAACTTACAAAAGAGGATATTACTGGTTCATCTTCATACTGGGATGCCATGTTGATATGTTGTATACTGGGGGCAAATCCACCGTTGGAAGTGGTGAAGGGTTTTGTGAATAGGATCTGGAATTCATATCCCATAGAAGAGGTATCTTTTTTAAAGGAGAGTCAGTTCATCATTAGGCTCAAAAATGTTGAGGATAGGGATGAAATTATCAAAAGAAAGTACTATTATTTTGATAATAAACCAGTTCTAGTTCAGAAGTGGAGGCCTGGGATGAAGGTGGAACTGGATCATCTGGAAGACATCCCTATTTGGATCCAACTACCAGATCTGGACATGAAATATTGGAGTTTAACTGGACTCAGCAAGATTGAGAGCCTTATAGGTAGGCCAATTAAGCGAGACGGACCCACTGCCAGGAAAACCAAGTACTCATATGCTAGAATACAAGTGGAGGTCAAAGTGCAACATGAATTCCCAGAGAAGGTCACCTTCATAGATGATGAGGAAAGGGTAATGACTGAGCAGATAGTCTATGAATGGTGTCCCTGCATTTGTTCATGTGGAAGACTGGGCCACACAGGAGAATTGTAGAAAGAAGAATGATAAGCCTAATACTGTTAGGAGGAAGCTGATCTGGAGACCAAAAAATAAGGATACTGGGGAAGTACACAGTGAGAAGGATGAAGCACCTAACAATGAGATAGAACATGGAAATGATATAGAAGGAGGAGCTAATGAAACAGAGGAGGATTTTATAGCTGTTACAGGAAAGAAAGCTGGGAAGCAGAAGATGATTGAAAGAACAGAGGAATCAGATGTTGCAAAATTAATGAAATTATGTGAGAAGGCCCCATATAGTGGGCACTACCCCTTCTTATCATGATTGGTTGCTGGAACATTAGGGGGCTGAACAGCCCCCTAAAACAAGAGGAAGTAAGGCGAGCAGTAAGGAAATATGAGGTTGGTTGGATGGGGCTTCTTCAAACTAAAATCAAGGAGAATAAATTCTTGGAGATAGAAAATAAAGTATTCCAAGGATGGGGTTCCTTTATTAACTCAGTGGCTCACCCATTGGGCAGGATCTGGGTAATATGGGATAAAAACAAATATGATGTGATAATACTGGAGTGGAGTGATCAGCTGATACATTGCCAAGGGAGACTTATTGGTGAAAATAATATATTTTACCTAACTTTTATATATGGGCATAATACTGCTCAAGAAAGGAAAAACCTTTGGCATCAGTGGAAAAGAATTGCTGGTAATACTAAGAAGAGCTGGGGAATTATTGGGGATTTCAATTCTGTTCTTTGTGAGAAGGATAGGATTGGAGGGAATAATGTAACTGAGGAGGAAACAAAAGATTTTAGAGAGTGTATAATGGCCTGTGGAATGGAAGAGATTCTTTGGGAAGGCAGCTACTATACATGGAGTAATAAGCAAGGGATTGGGAAGAGAATTTTCTCAAAGCTGGACAGAGCTATGGCAAATATGGATTGGATAATCGGTCCAGGTAATAGAGGAAGGATTGGAGGGAATAATGTAACTGAGGAGGAAACAAAAGATTTTAGAGAGTGTATAATGGCCTGTGGAATGGAAGAGATTCCTTGGGAAGGCAGCTACTATACATGGAGTAATAAGCAAGGGATTGGGAAGAGAATTTTCTCAAAGCTGGACAGAGCTATGGCAAATATGGATTGGATAATCCAACATGGAAACAAAGTCCAGGTAATAGAGGAAGGCATTTCAGATCATTGCCTCCTCCTTCTAAAGGCTCATAACACTGAAAGAAGAAATATTGGTTTTAAATATTGTGATATGTGGGAACTAGACAACCAGTTCTCAAATATACTCAGGATGGTATGGGAAAGGAATAATCCAGGAAGATATATGTTTCAAGTAATTACCAAGCTGAAGGAACTGAAACAACCCCTCAAGCAACTTAACAAAAGATTTCATCACATTCACCAGCAATGTGATGACATTAGAGAGGAATTGTGTGAAGTTCAGAAGAAGTTAAAGGAGGATATTACTAACCCTGACTTAATTGCTAGAGAGAAAGAATGCTTGAAGGATTTGATTTTTAAAAATAAGGCAGCTAATCTTCTTAAAGCCCAACAGTCTAAACATCAATGGATAGTGGATGGGGACCAAAGCTCCAGATTGTTCTTTGCTTGGATTAAGAAGAGAACAATTCATAACCAAATAAACAGTATCTTAAATGATAGAGGAGTCAAAGTTGAAGGAAGAAATAAAGTGGTAGAAGTTATGGTTGGGTACTATAAGAAACTGTTGGGAGAAAGGGGGAAGATGAAATCATAAACAGTGGCCCTTGCCTGAAGATGGATCAACAGATACAATTGGTAGAAGAAGTTACCCAAGAACAGATTAAAGAAGCAATGTTTTCAATCCCTAACACCAAAAGTCCAGGTCCTGATGGTTATAACAGTGGTTTTTTCAAAAGGAATTGGTGTGTAGTTGGAGAGCTAGTGGTGAAAGCAGTTAAAGAATTCTTCAATAAAGGGGAATTCCCTAAACAGCTTAATGCCACTAACATAGTGCTTATCCCTAAAGTGGATGATCCAGAGTCTCCTAATGAGTTCAGGCCTATCTCTTGCTGTAATGTTCTTCATAAGGTTATATCTAAGATATTATGTTGCAAACTGAAGAAAGTGCTGCCAAGCATAGTGAATCTTAACCAGGGTGCCGTTGTAGAGGGTAGACTGCTGGTCCATAATGTTCTTATTTGTCAGAAATTAGCCAAGGGCTATAACAGAAAGGGTGTTTCACCAAGATGCTTGATGAAGATAGACCTTAGGAAGGCCTATGATTCAATTAGTTGGAGGGCAGTTAAAAGCATTATGGAGGCTCTAAAATTTTCAAATCAATACATTGACTGGGTATACTACTGTATTTCCAACACAAGTTATTCCTTGATACTGAATGGTGAGAGCTTTGGTTACTTTAAGGGAGGAAAAGGAATTAGACAGGGAGATCCTTTGTCTCCTCTACTTTTTACTCTGATCATGGAGTACCTCACTAGAACTTTTAGATACTACGCCAATGAAGGGAGCTTCAAATATCACCCTATGTGCAGAGGACTTAACCTAATCAATCTGGCGTTTGCAGATGATCTGATAGTGGCTTGTAAAGCCGAAATGGGTTCTATAAAAACTGTCCTCAAATGCCTTGATCATTTTAGAAGGGTTACTGGACTGGAGGTTAACTACTCTAAGTCTCAAATTGTAATAGGGGGGTCAGTGAACAACTTGCTGAAGAAATGAGAAGAGAAACTCAAATGAGTAGGGGTGTGCTGCCATTTAAATACCTTGGTGGCCCCATCACTGCCAGCAGAATTTCAAACAGGGAGTGTGAGGCCCTGGTGCACAAGCTAACAAATAAAATTACAGTTTGGGCAACTAAACACCTTTCATATGCAGGAAGATGTAAGTTAATAAACTCTGTCCTTTTTGGTATTATAACATTCTGGTGCAAACTCTTCGTTATTCCTGGGAAAGTAATGCACCAAATACAAAGTATTTGTAGAAATTTCTTGTGGGGCTCTAAGGCTGAGTATAGTGGGGTGGGATGATGTCTGCAGACCAAAAAAGGAAGGGGGGCTGGGTATTAAAAACTTGGTTCTTTGGAATTATGCTTGTAATCACAGCCTGTTATGGGACATTGCTAACAAAAAAGATGTGTTGTGGGTTAAATAGATTCACAACAAGTATCTCAAGGGGAGTAGTATATGGGATATCCAACCAAAATCTGGTATGTGCGATTTCTTGAGGAAGCTCCTACATAATAGGAAGCTATTTGCAAAGATGGACATGAAGGGTGAGTATGAAACCCAGTTGGGGTACAAATGGCTCATGGGTGAGGCCAATGCATATCCTGAATTCTCTATTGTGTGGAATAGGTTAACTATTCCCAAACACCAAGTGTTAATGTGGCTTGGATGGAAGAATAGAATCAGCACCAAGGTGAGATTACAAAGATTTCTGAATATTGTCACTGGTTGTGTGTTGTGTAGCAATGGAGTGGAGGATAAGGAGAAGTGGATTGGAGTCCAATGGAAGGCCAAGAATGATGCGGACTTGAAGAGAGCAAGTGAGAGTGTTAAAGGAAGAAGGAAGAGACAGATAATGATTGCTGGTTTTGCTGTTGTTTGCTATGCCGTGTGGAAGGCTCGTAATTTCAAGATTAAGCAGGA